TATGAATACGTGGCAAGCACATCTCACCCTGGGGAACCTTGCAGTGCTGGTGCCCCCTTCCTCTGAGAGCCTGACCAAAGGGACTGGAGATGACCCTGAGCAGTGCCAGCCCTACACAACACATGGTCTAAGAAGGATAATCTTAAAATAAGAGTGGCTGGAGAGCTGTCCTGCCCACAGCAGGCTCCATGCCCCATCTCATGGTTGGCAATGAACTGACAGAATCACAGATCAATGCATGATTGGAAATCCAGGTAGCTTCTATGCAGGACCAAAGACCTTCCTTGAGATATTGCTCAGGTTGCTGGTGGTCTCACAGAGGAGGATTTGGGTCACCTCACTCACAAGCTTGTGATAGATCCCAACTGACTTCACAGCAGTGCAACAGCCTCTCACAGGGCACTTTCTGTTACAGAAATGAGGAGCTGAGCAGATCAACTGCCTCGCTTCCTCGTAACCAAATAAAGGATGCTGTGAGACATCCCAACAGCTACTAAAGATTCAGGCTACCACAAACAAAAAGAAGCAAAACTTGTACTGAAGTAGAAGAAGTCAGCCAAAAAAAGGCTGGATAAGTGCCTGGAAAAAGTGTAAGGACCCTCCAAATGAAGCAGCAAGACAAAGCCCTGGAGGTACCGGGGTGCCTTGCCTTTCACACCAGGAAAATTCAGCACACAGAGACCTCAGCGTGCCAGGGTCCAGCTTCAGTGATTCCACGTACCCAAGCGAAACACTCAAGGGAGACCCTCTGTGCTTTGCATGCCCTAAAATTCAGTGTCCAGATGACAAGATAAGTGGGGATGGAGAGGTCCAGATGGAGAAGCAGAGCTGGAGCACACGGCAGCAGCAGCAGCACACAACGGGCAGGGTGAGTGCATGGGAAGGGAGCCGGCTGTGCAGGGGGGGGCAGGCATCTGAAACCCTGACCAGTTTAGCCCCGTCCATTCAAGACCACATTTTCCACTGTTAATGCCAGTGCTCTGTGCCTGATTAAGCTTTGCATCCATCATGTGGTTGTTGGTTGTTTTGGTTGGGGTTTTTTTTTCGGCTCAGGACAGCACTTGTCACAGCTTTTGCTGTCTCAGCCTCTGCTGAAGGGGTGATGCAGCCTGAGAGATGAGATGATGTGATGACAAGATTGCTGTCCCAAGACTTTGAGAAGGGTCTGGGAGCTCCTACAAGGCAAAGGAGGAGCCTGACCTCAGGATTTGGGCATCTGTAAGATGGCTTTTTATCCTGGACAACTTCAAGATGTTTTAACAAAACCTCTCAACAAACCTGCCGCCTCAAAAAATCAGAGATGCAGAAGTGGACCAAACTCCTACTGTTCCTCCCCAGTACTCATTTCATCAGTTAAAGAAAGAGAGCACTGGCCAAACAGCATGAAAAACAAGTGATGGAATGGACTCTAGGGAAAATGCAAAAAAAATGCTGGTGGGGGAGGAAGGAAAAAAAAAAACCACCAGAAATGCACCAGGAAGACTCAGCACGTGTAAACAGAAACATTCTCTGCACCTTATGCCTGAGGAAAAGGTCCCCAAATCCACACACCTGCTGCACGTGTCCCCGACCGCCCACCTGCCGGGACGCTTGTATTCCACACAGTCATTTTTAACTGGAGATTTTCAGGGGATCACCTTCATTCCCACTTTTCCTATGCAGCACAGCTGTCTTAAATCCCTAAGGATGGTCCACTCTGACACCCCAGAAAGGCTGGGACAAGAAGCTCAACAAAACCCCAAGCTGTCCCCACAAGAAATGCCAGCGCACGTCAAAGGACGGCAGAGAAAGCACGTCCCCAGCAGCAGCAATTCAGAGGTTGGCCGATGTCCTCTGCTTGGCTTCAGCTGCCCCTTACATATTTTTTAATCGCAAATTGTAGCTGCAGACATCTTTACAGTGCATAAATGTGAAAGCCTTTTCTGTCTCCTAGCGATAAAGATATCCTGCGGCAACGATAAGCTAATTACGTGTTGCGTCAAGGAGATTAACTTTTAATGCGTTGTTCTCCCCTGTCACTGGCTGCCCCCCTTCCTCTTGCTTCAAAAGACAGGGTAGATTTGCCAAATTAATCATTTCTAAAACACTGGCACCTTGTTAGGGCCTTTACCTTATCGGCTGAATCTCGAAGCTAAGTAGCTCTCATCTTTGCATTCTCTTCTCACTTCGGAGTCTCCTCTCGTGTTGGAGACAGGATGATCACCGAGCCCTGCACACAGCCTGGCCGTGTGCCATTTACAGAAATAATGCTGCTCTCTGCAGTAACTTCACTTACTCCCTCTCTCTTCTTCTAGTCTTAGCTGGTGTTTATCTTGCTCTACACACATCTTACCTGTCTTGTTTTCCTGGCTGGGTCTGGTTCTGGTTTTAATCCAGAAATAAGTTGTTCAGATTTTTTTAATTATTATTATATTATTTGTTTAAATAATGGGTAAAGCTTTATATATTTTTATATATACATATATATATGCATATACATCTAATTTTTTAATATATATTTTATATATGTGTGTGCGTGTATATAGATATATAGATACATATATGTTGTATATGTATATGTAATCATCTCCACCTGCATTTCTCCATGAATTCCCTCCCTGCCCTGAGTTGCTGAACATCTTCCATGATGAAGTTTCTTTGAAATTCCTATGACCCCTCTCACAAATTGAAATTATTTTGTGGCATCCCACTACAGATTCTGGTTCAGAGCCCCAGTGTCTTTCCAAACAAAATAAATTCCTTATTTCTGCTCCTCACCACCAATTCTTGGTAATACCTTACAGGCCATAGTGACTTTTCCCTTGATGGCTTTCTAAATGCTCATGGACATATTCTTAAAGAACACAAGAGCAACCTGAATCCAGTGTGTGCTTAGCCAAGTGTCAAATACTGGTGAAATCCACTGTCAGAGGAAAATGTGAAGGTTTAAGGCACGGCTACAGCCTGATGAAAACAGTAATTTTACACAACCCACTGAAAGATCACATTACCTGGAGGACCAGACATTCTGCACTGACCCCCTAAATGTACTTCATGACATTAATAAGATGAGGGGAATAATTATAATTCACTTTGGCAAGCCTCCTCCTTTCACTTCACTCCTCCTAAGGCCAAATCTGCCTACTGCAAGCAGACAGAACTAATACCCATCTTTCGTATGCGTTTAACACACAAATTAGTAAGAAACTCCATTTTCCCTCTGGCAGAAACACTACGACGACAGCAGCCATGCCAAGTCACGTGAAAGTGAATCTGACCCTTTTTGTCTAACATTGGCTCATTGCCTCTTTAGCAGAGGTTAATCTTTCCACTAAAAATGCATTTTCACTTCCATCTTCCAGGCTTCTGTTTCGTATTTTTAGGTTCTGTGTCTGTAGTAGTCTGGTTGGGTTTTATACTGTTTGGCTCTCCTGTCACATACTGAAGCCCTCATCCACACCAATTGAAGAGAAGGTCACTGAACATTAAGAAAAGAAGCTAAAATAAACTTGAACTGAAGCCTGTGCTGGTCTGAATCCACCAGAAAAGATGTTCCCTTCCTTCTGGTGCAAGAAAACCTGCATTTCCTACGATGCTGCGCTGACTTTGGCACACTCCACAGCACACTCTGGTATTTACAACGTTACTAAAACGTCACAGGGCTACAATATTTAGCTGGTTGTTGCTAAGTTTTGCGTTCTACTTTGTTTAGTAATTCGATCCCTCCATTACCCTTTTAATTAAATAGCGACTTTCTAGAGGGAATGACTGGATCTCCCCAGCGACGGTTGCTGGAAGTGATTTAAATTGATGACAAATGTGGAAAGATCGTTCTTCCTAACAACACTGAGTTAATCCCACATCAGGGACACGTTGGGTACAGTTATGACAGCAAACTCAGTGTAGAATTTTGGTGAAGAAATTAAAAGATATTACCGGTGCTCTACCTTTGCCCAGTACCCAGAATGTTGTAACTGTCAAGGGATCCCAGTGTTTCAGGCAAATCTACAGCCTGACCAAGCAGCTGAATACCAACCTCGTTGTATAAATCACTGAATTCTTCAACCACATCTTTCGGGATCCTTTGCCCGTTGTTGGTAAGATGATACGCCACCCCATTCTTGGAGTAAAGACTGATCCGTCCGACGCTTCTCTCGCCGTCAGTAGTCTCTTCAAGTAAACCATTGTCTTCTGCTAGATGATAGACTGGGTTTCCATGCGAACCATGAATCCACGTAGCTCCCAGTTCAAAAGTGGCGTGCCCTGCGGGGGAGTAAACCAAGCAGATCAGTTACTGAAGCCCATTGTTAACCCTAAAGAAAATGTGCCAAAGCAGAACAACTGCCTAAGGACACCAGGTGTTTCAACATCATTTAAGCGAGCTTTCTCTGTTAGACAAAGGCAACGCCAGTGATCTTCAAGCCAGTACTTCAGGATCCAAGTTCAGACAGTGCTGAAAGGATGGGATGTTTCCAATAAAGAGACATTGCAATGACACACCTCTGATTTTTCAGGAGAAATACAGAATATTCTGGGTTTCCAGTTGTTGTCATGGTTGTTGCCAGCTGCTACCTGGCCTTTCTAAATCATCTTCACTAAACCTGCGCTGAAGAACACGATCAGAGAGCAGAGGATGTGCTGCAGAACAAGCCAAGCACCAGTGAAAGGGGTATGGGAAGGAAAACAGCTGTAAAAAGCCACACTGTGCTATTGCAAAAAGGACACAGAAGCGTATTTACATAAATATTATAGTTGCAGGGAAAGAATAGAGTACATAAAGACTTCAAATATGCACCGTATTCGAGAGGAGGGGATGGATACCCAGACACAGGAGGCACGTAGGCAAATGGAGATTGCCCCAAGATAGCAACATTGACCTGGATACTGAACCTTGTCCTGTGATTAAAAATGCAGGTTATTTACAAATAAACCTCAGATCAACTGCAATATAAAAAGGCATTTCCATTTCCCAAATGAGTCAACAGGTTATATCTGATTATTTATGCCTTTGAAAATGTAAAATCAGGTTCTTTGACACCAAACACATTTGGTCTTCATCACCTCTGCCTGCAAAACACAAAGAGCTTGATCAGCCCAGGCTTTCCCTTCCTTATAACTAATGGGGTTTGCACCAGGGCTCCGACTCTAAACCAGTGCTACCACAGCTGGGCTGATAGTGCAGGGAGATGCTCAGCAGCTGAAAGGAGCTGCCAAAAATAAGCTTTGGTCACGTCCTCCACCCACATTTTTTACAGATTCTCCGAAGTTCAAAGCTGCCTGTTTTAAAGTCTGACGAAGCCGCGCTCTCCTCACATCCCAGCCAACGCGGCACCGTGCAGCTCGCTCTGCAGAGGTGCGCGAACGCCCGGTTAAGTGGGTTAGTTAATCGGATCCTGCTTGACGGAGAGAGGATCATGCAGTTACCAGTCATCAAATGCTGTTTAACATGTAAATGTATGCTCAGGCAGAAAGACGCTGCGGCGCTACGCTGTAACACAGGCAAGCTTAATGGGTGAAAGCTCCATGAAATGCTGCCTTCAAGGGAAGCTCCACGTATCTTGTTTTACAAGCAACCACCTCATCATTAAGGAATGTGCTGATGCCCTTCAAAATACGCATTACAGAACGTGAGAGCAGATTTCTCTGCGTACCCAAAACAACGTGTGTGCTTCGGGGTCCGCAGCACCGAGTCACAAACGCGTGAATATTTAAGGCGCCGAAAAACTGCCACACACTTCCAGAGCAGCTGGGCGAGCGGAAATGCCTGCTGCAGGCTGGCAGGCAAAGGTACAAAGCTCATAAATACTGCATGTGGCAGTCACCTTGTTAATGCAATCCTCCTGCGAGTCATCGCATGCCAGAGCGGCAGCGGGGACGCTGCCTGCTGCTTTGTGTCAGGAGCTCGCTCTGTCACACTAACAATCCTCTTCCTCTTATTTATGGGGCACCTGAACCTTGAAATAAAAGAATAACGCCTGCAAGTCCCACTGTATTGACGCTCGGTAACAATTTCGATGTGTTCCTGGCTCTCCTGTTTTCGGTAGCTGTGTGGAATATAATCAAATACCAAGACATTAAAAATAGTCATTCGTGCCTGTAATGCTTAGAAACTTGCTATCTCACTCCCAAGCAGAGAAGGCAGCTGTTGCCTAAGCGTAAGTTACATGAGAAGTGATTTTAAAAGTGTACAATTAAATAACGTATTTTCAAACAGAGACAGCTAATTTACTTTCAGGGCCTTAAAAGATTTTAGTTTCAAGTATTAATGAATCATCCAGTACATCCAAAATATTAAAAGAATCTGCTTCCTATTCTGTGGATATAATTACTGAGGCACAAGCAGCAGTCAAAACAAGCCTATGCACAACAAAATACCATACCAGCAATTTTCCAAAGGAACGCACAGATTGTGTACCAAGCCTTCTGAATACACACAGGAACTTTCACATTTCCCTTTGCAGCCCTGCCTATGTCTTGGGCATCCTGTCGTGATGTATCTGCAGTGGATACATATGTTACAGATCAAGAAACACTTACAGCCCACAAACACACAACCCCCCTGATGTTACAGATCAAGAAACACACTTACAGCCCACAAACACACAACCCCCCTGCCTCATCTGTGCTAGAGACGACGAACCGAACCTCTGAAAATCCAAATTATTCCCCTGTGCTGAGTAGCAACATAATCCATGCAGTTGAGGGAAAATACAGTCCTCTGCATGACACAGTATGGCTCAGTGAGAGTGGAAAAATTATAATATAACCCTGAGAGGCTGCCACCATGGCTCTGCTAAAGATTTAAACTGGATCTTTAGAAATTTAACAATTAAAGGCCATTTAGACAAGCAGATCAAAGCACTGTACATTGAAGACCTGGAAGAACCACTTCTGTAACAGCTTTTTGTAAGCTATAGCCGGTTCAGAGAGATGAGCAGGTCCTGCACACCCCTTGCTGCTTCAGGGAGTACAGAAGAAGAAAACACAGCCCAGGATGGTGCTGCCCTTCTGCCGTGGTGCCAGGGAGGATGGAGGTTCTGATTACAGCCGCTTCTGAGGATTTCACCACCCAACAGAGCTCCAAAATAGGTTGGGTGAAGTGCATGTGAATGTGGAGGGTAGAAGATGGACCCACTTGAGAGAGCTGCAGTCCATACCCCCACGGTGTAACTTTGATAGTTCAGAGATAGAAAGCTTGTAGTTTCAAGAAAAGTATTAAAGATTAAGACTTCGGATTCCAGTCCTCTGCTCTGCAAACCTCCAAACTGCAAGACCAGACTGAAAAGCCTGCTCATCTTATACCAGTTAAGAAATGTTCACGAACAGGAGGCAGATACCCAGCAAATGCAAAGATAGGAGTAGCCAGCAAAGGTGTTCAAAGGGGAGAGATCTGCTCCCAATGTGAGTACAATAAAAAGTATTACACAGGTGCACTGGCAAAATGATATATCATTCCCTGAAGATTTCAAGCTTTTAACACTTCCCTCCTCTCACAGACATGATCCAGGGTATTTTTAAACACAGGGTATTGTGAGCAAAGGACACACTTCCCATCCTAACCTCTATGCCAAGTCTCGGCAGAATGTAAAGTGCCCTATTCAAACACGGGAGATTACATTTATCCGACTGCCTTTTCATTCATTTCCCTTCTGAAAGTTCATAGGACGCTGCTGTTTATTTACTGGGGCGAGCTGATCGAGTACAATACAGCAAGTGATGTAAGCACCTGAGAAATGACAAGAAAAGAGGGCACAAAGAGGCCAAAGTTAATAAATAGAGAATGGGATCAGAAACAGAAGCAGCTAATGGAAGTCAGGAAGGTAATTCAGTCAAAAAGCGAAGAGCTTTTTGCCTCCTGCAGAGAAGAGACAGGCAATGCCCTTCGGGATACCAGGGGAAGTTTCGTGCTGCAAAGGGTAGCGTTTGCTCCAGCAGTTTTGCATTTAGAGATCTTACAAGCCTTTCCAATTGACAGCAGATTAAATACCCAGTGTCTGCACCTCAGTTACACACTGGGAAAGAAAGCCACAAAGGTAGGAAAGCTGCAAGTCAGGATGAAAGGAGACATTGAAGAGGTTTTTCCAGCAGCCTGATTCACAGTGGGCAGTGCCCTCCACAGTAAATTAGCTCTAGGGAAATGAATGGGGCTATTTGTGACACAGAATCGCCTGGAGCTTGTCCCTTTGCGAGCAATGTGAGTCACTGCGAAACGGCGGGGAGATTCACTGACTGCTCCTAGGCAAGAGTCGAGCTTGAAAACGTTGGTGGAAACTGTCTCATTCACAGAATCACACAATCTCAGGAGTTGGAAGGGACCTCGAAAGATCATCCAGTCCAACCCCCCTGCTGGAGCAGGATCACCAGACCAGGTCACACAGGAACAGTCTCCACAGGAGACTCCACACCTCTCTGGGCAGCCTGGGCCGTGCTCCATAACCCTCACACTCACAAACTTTGGCCTCATCTTCAGCTGGAACCTCCTATGCTCCAGCATGGGACCATTGCCCCTTGTGCTGGCATTGGACATCCCAGAGCAGAGCCTGGCTCCTTCCTCCTGACACTGCCCTTTCCAAATGGATCCCCAGGAATGAGGGCACCTCTCAGACTCCTCTGCTCCAAGCTCAAGAGCCCCAGCTCCCTCAGCCGCTCCTCAGCAGGAGATGCTCCACTCCCTCCATCATCTTTGTGGCCCTGCTGGACTCTTTCAAGCACCTCCCTGTCCTTCTTGAGCTGAGAGTCTCAATGCCGGGATTTAATCACAGACCTGTTACATAGAGCTCTTCTGAATGAATAAAAACCATCACTGAGGTCTTTCATTTATAGAAACGTGGTTTTGGAGCAGCCCCCCCTCAGAAAAGATGCACAAGGCAGCTCAGCTTCACCCACCCACCCTGCAAAGAGCCCAAGGATACGTTCCTGACACCATCACACCTCAAACAACCTTCTGCAGGTTGACGTGGACTGAAAACCCACGTTTCCGAGGTCAAATCAACCTCAGAACCATACAAAGCCTGGCCAGCGGGATTACGAGCTATTACACGACTCCCAGAATGCCGCTCTTACCAAGATTCACACTTTGCACGCGGCCTCCGATGCGGTCGGTTGCCTCAAGGACAGTTACATCCGTGAAACCGCTTTCCAGGAGCGCTTTCGCTGCGGACAGGCCTGCAAGCCCAGCACCGATAACTACTATTCGAGGCTGTCGTTTTCTCCGTAGGCCACTACTAAGAGGATCATCCGTGCTGTCTCCAGATATTTCACAACTTTGCATGCCGTCCAAGCTGGCTTTCTAAGGAACCTATGGGAAAAAAAAAAGCAAACAAGCGCGTTCAGGGATCTCGGCTCCAATTTATGCTCTGCAGTTCAAAATCCTAAGGAAGGCTATTCAAATAAATTTTTAAAAAACAATGCAGCAGGGAAGAAAGAAAAGTTGTGACTAAGACCCAGCCTTCGAAATGGGAAGCATAGGAAGGATAACTGAGGTCAAACTGGGATGCAACAACGTTTTGGCCTGGAGCACCAGGATTGGAAACTCCAGAAATCTCCACCCTCTTGTATCATGTAGACTATTTCCAGAGAAGTCAAAGGATTTTCAAGCTCCCATCTCTTTATATAACCTCCAAAAGCGGCTATTTTGTGGTAAAGACACTAGAAAAATAAAAGGAAAAGAAAAACCACATGCCCGGTGCCGACAAGCTGCACAACACGGCCACGAAGCTTCACTGTGCCTCTGTGGCAACCGCAAAGGATAAGGTTCAGATGGTGTAACTGCGGGACTGGGTAAAGAGGGTTCAGCTCAAAGCACGGAGCTCAACCATCAAACCAATCATTATAGAAACGGTGCAGGCACAAAAATGGTTCAACTGATGAAAGCCAACAGGGGACAGTTCAAAAATTCATAGCCACAGCCTCTCCTGCCACATCAGGGTCTGCCTCAGCCTTCGATGAGGAGAGGTTCAAACCCAAACCAGTCCTACCCCATCCAATCCTACCTCCACCTACCCCACACCTCCAACTGCTCCTCCAAGCTATACCCTATTTTTTTTGTGCAAACTCCTACAAGCCATCTTTTTAACTGTGTATACCCTTAGCTTTCTGGTCCTATCACTTTATCTTAGTCTGTGGTCTGAGGTCATGGTTAAGGATAAACCTTAACCAGACACCACCAATGTAGGATGTCTTCGTACATGAATATCAATGTCCAGTCCTCTTGTTCTGGGTAGGTTCATGCTCGCCCTCAAGAGCATGAGGGAACAGGGTACAAAGACCCATACTCCACCAGGCCCACGAAGACATCAGTCCTGACCTGAAGAAGAGAAGGCTGAGGGGAGACCTCATCACCACCTCCAACTGCCTCAAGGGAGCTTGTAGAGAGGTGGGTGCTGGTCTCTTCTCCCAGGTGATGGGGGATAGAACAAGGGGAAACGGCACCAAGCTGTGCCAAGGGAGGTTCAGGTTAGAGATAAGGAGGAAGTTCTTTACTGAGAGGGTCGTCAGAAGCTGGCACAGGCTGCCCAGGGAGGTGGTGGAGTCACCATCCCTGGATGTGTTTAAAGAGCGGGTAGATGAGGAACTTAAGGATATGGTTTAGTGGGTAGACAGGAGCGGTTGGACATGATGATCTCAGAGGGCTTTTCCAACCGAGCGATTCTGTGATTCTGTGACCTGCAATGAACAAGCACACAGCCCAGGATTCATCAGACCCTGAATCACTGATGCCCAATGACTTGGGTAAAGCTTGGATCAAGTTCACCCATGACTCCCAGCCTTGTCCTCCCTACCCATTGCTTACCGAATGCGGAGCAATGCAAGGCGCTCATGTGCTGCTCTACCCATGGCCAAGCCACTGGATGCACCTTTTGAGACATTCCCCAACCTGCCCAACACTTGGCCAGTGTCAAAGACTTGTTTCTCTCTTTCATCACCAGGAGTAGACTCGAACTTTTGCACTTGAGACACCACTGGACTACTGCAGTAAATGAACACATGTACTAATGAAGTACAAAGCAACAGTGGTTTCATTTGGAGAGTCCCTTTTTTTTATGGGTTCTTTAAGCATTTATAGACACTGACCAAGCATTTCCTGCTCTCTGTAAGAGAGGTGACACCAGACTGCAGTCAGCAGTGATTTAAGCAGTGCTATAAAAATTAAAGCTTCTGGAGCTCTTGGCAATTATTAACCTGGGATTACATCAATCACCTCACTGTGTTCATCTCCTGACTTTACTCATCTGGGAGAGAGGCGTTTTGGTCTTTTACATCTCAGTCCACTCTGAAAGGGGCATTTTCAGAATGGGTTAAAATGAATGGAAATCTGGGGTCCCTCGGGAGCTCGTCAGGAACTGCTCCATGATGTGTAGACTAAATCCTCAGCAGTCAAAGGCTGGTATAAAAGACCAGACCACTCCTCAACAGACTCACATGACACACACCACAGAGATGAGGGACAACATTCTAGTTAAAAACTGAACCCCAAAAAAGCATCACTTTGCTCTATTTACCACTGCAGGACAATGGCAAGGAGCTGGGTTTCCTACAATGAAGTATTTTTTCCATCATCTTCTCTCGAGGTTGAGTTAAGCCACTGCATTTCTTGGGCCCCATCAATCACCAGTCCATTACCTCCCCTCCCAAGCACATCAATGTGTTGGCTTTTAATCTAACAAGATAAAAAGATACATTTCTCTGCGTTCTTTTAAGATGAGCCCCAAACATTGGGATCTCTGCATTCAGAGCTTCAGTAAAGTCCACCACTGGGACATGAAGGGCAAAGCAGTCACCAAGGGGTACATAAGAAGCACCACAGTAATTCATATGGGCGAGTCTGGGGCTGGTTCAAAGAGAAATGATCATTTTTTGGCAGCACCAGCTTCCAGTATAAGTCCAATAATACAGGTCCAATAAGGTAGAGCTGATGTCCAGACCTCTGAGCCCAACAACCCTGGGACTGCTCCCCCTTTCATTTGCCACCTCCTTTTTGAATCCCTCTGTACTTCTGGCCTTCACAATGATTTTGCGGTGAGCAGCTCCACGGTCTGTTAATCCTATGCAAATATTCATGTCCTTTTGTCAAAACCACTGACGACATTCCCCAAAAGCTACGTTACAAGAAACATCAAACAGCCATTCCCTGTTCACAGCCTCCTCGGTGCTAAGGACCTACGTATATGATCCTAGACATCTCTTCTTCAAGAGGAAATAAATCTTAATCCAGCGAGCCCTTCCTTGTCTGTGAGCTAACATAAACCCACAGCTGAAACCAATCCTATTAGAAACATCTCTGGGATTTATTACAACCCATAGATACCCTACAACACCCACCACTTCTCATCCAGTCTCCAGATAACACTTTGATGCACAAATTTTAATCGTCTCAGTAAAGAAACACCCTTGATGCCATCTACATCCTATAGCAATTGAACCGGTTTGGCTCAGTTCTTTAAGCACAGCTTTCCTAATCCTGGCTTTGGAGAACTCACGCGAATTCTTCACGTGAAAGCTTCAAGAAAATGCTTTACCCTCTTGTTTCAGCACTTTAATACTGGATTAGGTGACCTGTCTAGACAGAGGAGAAAATAACAGGGTATTTTGTGTGTACTAAATCCCGATTTAGAAACCACCCTTCCTTAGCCAACAACCTTTACCGTATGATCGGCAGGGGAAGGCAATCAAAACTCAGCGAGAGCTCGGCCGTTCCAACCAGGACATATCCTCCGCTGTGAACTGAACAGACAACATAAATATATGAGTCCCCTCCACACTTTATTTCAGTGTCAATTTTACACTCTGTTAGGCACATAAGTAAGACAAGCACATAAAACACGGTCTATTATCTGCAGTGCTCTGCCTTCAACACGTGCCAAGCCACCAGCCAGGGCTCAAGCCAGCGAATGTTACTGGCTCCTCCGACACAAATATACTTTGGCTTTTTGCTTTTTCTTCATTGCCAAAAAAGGTTGATGCTCTTTTTTTTTCCCCAAATCACAGGTAAGAGGTGCGTTAGCCGGTGTACTGTGCATCTCTCCGAGGCTGTCGTTTTACTTTAGGAGGTGATCATCCCCCTGTACTCGGCACTGGTGAGGCCACACCTCGAGTGCTGTGTTCAGTTGTGGGCCCCTCACTAGAAGAAGGATGTTGAGATTCTGGAGCATGTTCAGAGAAGAGCCACAAGGATGGTGAGGGCTCTGGAGAACAAGCCTGATGAGGAGCGGCTGAGGGAACTGGGCTTGTTTAGCCTGGAGAAGAGAAGGCTGAGGGGAGACCTCAGCACCACCTACAACTGCCTCAAGGGAGGTTGTGGAGAGGTGGGTGCTGGTCTCTTCTCCCAGGTGATGGGGGATAGAACAAGGGGAAACGGCACCAAGCTGTGCCAAGGGAGGTTCAGGTTAGAGAGAAGGAGGAAGTTCTTTACTGAGAGGGTCGTCAGAAGCTGGCACAGGCTGCCCAGGGAGGTGGTGGAGTC